AATCCAGAGATTCCATTTTCAAGGAATCTACCTTAAAGGTTATTGGGGCTCGGCACCTATAGCTCAACCGGCTAAGGCGCCAGCCACGTACACCTAAGGTGGCGGGTTCGAATCCCCAGCCCGGACCAGCCAAACAACAATGACGGCAGCAACCAAAAAATAGCCGGGCGTTGTGGCGGGCGCCTGTGGTCCCAGCTACTTGGGAGGCCGAGGCAGAAGACTCACTTGAGCCCAGGAGTTGGAGGTTGCTGTGAGCTGTAATGCCAGAGCACTCTACCCAGGGGGACAGCTTGAGGCTCTGTCTCAAAAAAAAAAAGGTTATTGGCAAAAACAAAATGTCATATGCATAGGGTGACTTTGTGGCATTATCAATAACAGCAAAAGACAGGCAACAACCCAGGGATATAAATGGCTATAAAAGTGATGAGGAAAATCTCTAGGTACTGATAATACAGCAATCTCTAGCAGTGAATAAAATGAAGGTACAGAATATACAGTTGATATCTTTTCTGTAATAGTGTTGTGTGTGTGTGTATGTGTTATGTATTTGAGGTTGCTGTGACCTAGGCTGAGGCCACGGCACTCTGGGTGACAGAGCAAGACTATTATCTCAAAAGAAAAAAAATGTATTTGTCTAATCTTTGTAAAAGCAAACACTGGAATGATAGACTTCTCTGTATATATGTTATTTATAATTTTGACTCTGGAAATATATTCTATACATTTCAAAAAGCACCAAATTTAAGTAACTTCAGAAAACAGCATTTTGTTCTTTATTCTAAGGATAAATAAAGCAGCAAAGAAGTCTTAAGCTGTATTTGATAAACTTATAGATTTTAGTTATATTGGTATTACTTTTTTTTTTTGAGTCAGAGTCTCAAGATGTCGCCCTGGGTAGAATGCCATGGCACCATCATCACTCCTGGCAACCTCTAACTTTTGGGTTAAGCAATCCTCTTGCCTCGGTTTTTTTCTATTTTTAGTATAAATGGGGGTCTCACTCTTGCTCAGGCTGGTCTCAAACCATAAGCTGAAGCAATCCACCTGCCTTGGCCTCCCAGAGTGCTAGAATTACAGGCATGAGCCACTGCGCCAAGCCTTGGTGTTACTTTTTAATTTTTAAAAAAATGTTTTTTCTTTTTTAGGGACAAGGTCTCACTCTGTCACACAGACTGGAGTTCAGTGGTGTAATCATAGTTTATTGCAACCTTGAAGTCCTGGGCTCAAGCAATCCTCTTGCCTCAGCCTTCTCAGTAGTTTGGGCTATAAGTGTACCCCACCATGTTAGGTTAATTTTATAAATTTTTTTTTTTTTTTTTTTTGCAGTTTTTGGCCGGGGCTGGGTTTGAACCCACCACCTCCAGCATATGGGATGGGTGCCCTACTCCTTTGAGCCACAGGTGCTGCCCTTATAAATTTTTTTTTTTTTTTGCAGTTTTTTTGGCCAGGGCTGGGTTTGAACCCGCCACCTCCAGCATAATGGGGCTGGCACCCTATTCCTTGAACCACAGGTGCCGCCCTGCCCTTATAATTTTTTTTAAGAGACAGGATCTCACTGTGTTGCTCCAGCCCCAGCTGCCCTCATACTCCTAGCCTCAAGGGATCCTACCACGTTGGCCTCCCAAAGAGATGGGATTATAGGCATGAGCCATTTGCCTAGCCTATATACTGGTGTTATTTTGAAAGTATTTTACATGTATTATAGAATAATAAAAGTTACTTTTATCAGAAACAAAGATCTTCACTACATGCGAATGATATTCAAACATAAAACCAAAGAAGTAAAAACTTTGCAATGTTAAAATTAAACTAGAAATACTAACAATGGCTTGGCGCCTGTAGCACAGTGGTTACGGCAGCAGCCACATACACCAAGGGTGGTGGGTTCGAACCTGGCCCGAGCCAGCTAAACAACTGCAACAAAAAACTAGCCAGGTATTGTGGCAGGCGCCTATAGTCCAGCTATTTGGGAGGCTGAGGCAAGAGAATCACTTAAGCCCAAGAGTTTGAGGTTGCTCCCACGACACTCTACCGAGGGCAACATAGTGAGACTCTATCTCCAAAAAAAGAAAGAAAGAAAGAAAAGAAATACTAACATAAACTCATAATTTTCTTTTTACTTTTTTATTTATTTACTTATTTATTTCGAGACAGAGTTTCTTGTGGCCCTCAGTAGAGTGCCATGGCATTGTGGTTCACAGCAACCTCAAACTCTGGGTTCAAGCTATCCTCTTGCCTCAGCCTCCCCAGTAGCTAGGATCACAGGCTCCTGCCACAACGCCTGGCTATTTTTAGAGACAGTCTTGCTCTTGCTCAGGCTGGTCTTGAACTTGTGAGCTCAAGGGATCCACCTGCCTGGGACTCCCAGAGTGCTAGGATAGGCGTTAAGCCACCATGGCCAGCCAATTTTGTTTCTTTTTAAAAACACATATTTCCTGGCTATTTCCACTGAAAAAGCTTAGAAGCAACAACACCCCAGAAGTAATGAATGCACCTAACACTCAGATCTTGGTTTTTTTTTTTTTTTTTTTTT